GATGGAGGAGGAGGAGAAGGAGGAGGAGGAGTGGAATCGAACGAGTGGGGAGTAAAATGATTGAGATGGGAGGAGGGGAAGGGGGGTATAATGATGATGGTGATGGTGTTTGCGATGCTGCTGCTGTTGTTGCTGATAATGATGATGCTGATGATGATCTTGATGATGATGCTAATGCCGCTGCTGCTTCCGATGATGATAATGCTAATGATGATGGTTATGATGATGCTTATGATGATGAGGAGGCTGAGGATGAGGATGAGGATGAGGATGACGAGGACGAAGATGATGATGATGATGATGATGATGATGATGATGATGATGATGATGATGATGATGATGCTGCTGCTGATGATGATGATGATGATGATGCGGCTGCTGCTTCCGATGATGATGATGCTGATGATGATGATGATGATGATGATGCTGACGATGATGATGATGATGATGATGATGATGATGATGATGATGATGATGGTGATGATGACGATGACGGCAATGCCGAACAGGATGACGTCGCCGACGACGACAATGACGATGATGATGGTGTTGGTGGTGGTGGTAGTGGTGGTGATGATGTCGCAGAAGGTGTCGGTGACGATGATGCCGGTGGAGATGATGCTGATGATGATGATCATCATGATGATGATGATGATGATGATGATGATGATGATGATGATGATGATGATGATGATGATGATGATGATGATGATGATGATGATGGCGATGCTGGTAATGCTAACGGTGATGACGACGATGATGATAGTGATGAAGCAGATGACGATCATGATGGCGATGGCGATGATGGCGACGACAACGACGACGACGATGATGCTGATGATGCTGCTGCTGATGATGATGATGACCACGACGACGACGACGCCGAACAAGACGACGACGATGTTGCTGCTGCTGCCGATGGTCATGATGATGTTGTTGATGATGATGCTGATGATGCTGCTGATGATGATGGTCGTGATGATGATGATGATGACGACGACGATAATGATAATGATGGAGCAGATGATGAATTTGATGACGATGACGATGACGACAACGACGATTACGATGTTGTTGTAATTGCTGTTGTTGATGATAATGGTGGTGGTGGTGGCGATGATGATGATGCTTCTGATGCTGATGATGATGATGATGCTAATGCGGATGCTGATGATGATGCTGATGCTGATGCTGATGCTGATGCTGATGCTGCTGATGATGATGATGATGATGATGATGACGATGATGATGATGATGATGATGATGATGATGATGATGATGATAATGATGATGATGATGATAATAATAATGATGATGATTTTTTGAATGCAGACATTAGGGTAGGAGCTGTGACGATTCAGATAGCTCGAAGACGGGAACGCGCACCAGCGCGGGCGGGCTGTGCAGGGCTTGGCGTGATCCTGGCAGGCAGTCCAGCCCATCTCGCGAGCCTTGTCGCAATCAGCCAGGTTAAGAGGAGCAACTGTACTCTCAGCGAGGGGCCTGAGTGAAGCAAGAGCGTCTTTGCAGCACTCGGCCCTGTAAGCCAAATGATCAATTGCAGCAGGACGGCTTGAGACAACCTTCTTGCAAACTGGGCATGGAGAATCTGGACAAAACATCTTGCGTCGTTGCCAGCAGCGTGGGCACGAAACATATGACTACGGAGGCCTCGGTTGCTGGTGCAGCATGCACACGAATGGGGCGCTGATTAGCGGAGCCGAAACAGTGGCGTCAAAGAACTCTGGAGACACGTCCCCGGCACGCATTCGAGAGAAGCTCGGGTCGAGAGCCGCCAAGTCGCGCTTCCAATCAAATAAGTTGGAAAACAACTCAAGCCAAGGCCTCGGGTCGAGGCGTGGGTCTGGCAAAGATCTCAAGGTCGGCGCGGCTTGCCAGGCCCACGCCACATCCTGAGCCAAAGCCTTCGAAGCAGCAGACTGATAAACCGGAGGGCCACCAAAACTTTCGGGGTGCCTTCTAGGTTCCTGGAAGCAGCGGTAAGGCGGCGCTGGAGGAAGAGAAGGTCAGTGGGTAGCTCCCCTAACTCGGCGAGCACCGAAGTGTCTGTCCCATGACCGGCTGCTTTGGAGCGGCAGCGGCCGCACAGCCGGCGAGGCACGCAGAGGCGAGCAGCGCTCAAAGACCTAACTGCTTCTGATGCGGGCTCAGCCCACGTTCCTGTTCCAGAGAGCAGGTGGGAGCAAGCACAAATCATGGGCAAGGGGAAACCGAGTGTCACGTGATATTCGAGCAACGTGTGTGCGAGAGGGCAGTACGAAGCAAGGCGCTTTGAAGCCTTCGCCTTGGCATCGAGCAGGGTGGAGCCAGAAGAAGTTTGCACAGTACCAACGTGCGTATACCGGATAGTGACGACAACTCGTTTGTCACCAGATGGAGTGGTCAAAAAAGGCATCTTCGTGGTAGAGTCAGTTCAGGCTCGCCGTGCACGGCGAGCGCCCTTGCCGCGAATTCCAAGAGTGACTTCTGTTTTTCTGGGATCCAGGTTGCACCAGGGGCCGCACTTCTCGAATTCCACGATCATGATCTCCAGCAGCTGCCAGGTCACCTCAACGCACTCAACGCACTCATGCGCGGAAAGATACATTAATCTGAACAGAACGTCGTCCACGAAATGAGCGTCTGCTATCTGCTCAGAGATGGGGTCACGGGCATCTGACAACTCAGCACCACCTCGAAGATCCCATGGGCATGGCGCGTCACCAACAACATGCTGGAGGACGCCTATGGCAGCGGCAGCCTGCCGAACTTTCGAGAGAACGTACTCGTGGATGACGTTGAAGATCGTTGCGCCAATCTTGCACCACTGCTGAGACCCATTGCGCGTGAGCAGGGCGAGGTCGTCCATCTGCACCTGCCCTTCGTGGACGGTGAGCCAAGCGTCCTCGTGCAAATCGTGAACCAGGTAGGTGAGCGTCGGCCTTGGGAACGCCAGCGTCCTCGGGAAAATTGGAGCCCGCAGCCATGAAATCAACAACTCGATGGGGATTCGAGCTCAACGAGCTCGTCGCGCACGGAAGCCGCATCGAGATGAGACGGAACCATTGGCAACTCATGGCGAACGGTGTCGGAGGCGGCTGACAGGGCCACATATACCCGAGAGAATGATTTCCGCTGGTGCCTGGCCACGGAGACATGAAGTTCCGCAACCAAGCCTGCCGTACTAGTGCTGCGGCCCCCGACAGCTCCGCATTCGGCGTCAGCAGCTGCATCCGGGCAATGCTCGCCGAGCTCGTCTTTCAGGACAGCCCCGTGGACCTTGCTGTGGGATCGGACGAGTCTGCCGCGGTTGTTGGAGGTGACCGCCTTCTCGCCCTTGCGTTCTCAGATGTCCTACAGTCGGGGCCCTGAAGAAGGAACCCTTTTGGTTGGGGAGGGGCTCCGCGTTCCTTAAGTCTTTCACAGCTTGCCTCAGGCTTTCCTTATGTCTTCGATCGGAAATCGAAGGTTAACTTATGGAAAAATGGGGCCTCGTTCCTTATTTAGGGTTCCTTAGGTCAACGCCCCGACTGTACGTGCGCCCCCCCTGTCACGGCGAGGGGGCACCGCGCGTGCCGCCCGAGTCGATCTGAGCACCACCTGGGCGTGGCGGGCGGCAGGCTCGCCCCGCGCCTTCCACGCAGCAGGGCCCGCGCCATCTGGGCCGGTGGCTTTGCTAAAACGACGCGAAGATCGGGACAAAATCGGATCGGGATAATTCGAAGTCTCTGAGAATCGGCGGGTTTGGAGGATGTATTGGGCGCCGCGGCCGCTCCTGAGCGTTCCGGAACGCTCTGAGAGCGCTCCGGAACGCTCTGGAGCGATTTATCCCGATCCTAGCCCTGTTTTGTTTGCGACCAGGAGCGGAATGGACTCGGCGCAGCAGAGGCTCACGGGTGGGTCCTTCTCCGCCTGATCTGCAGGCCCCCCGGTGTTTCTCTTCACAAGGTCGCAGCATGGGAGGCGGACTCCAGCAAGACGGATACGTCGCCGGTCAGCATGACGATGGTGATGATGGTGATGAGGATGATGAGGATGATGAGGATGATGATGGTGATGGTGATGTTGATGATGATGATGATGATGATGATGATGATGATGATGATGATAATGATGATGATGATGATGATGATGATGATGTAGTTGATGACGGTTATCATGACGACGATGGGGAGGAGGAGGATGAGGAAGAGGACGAGGAGGGGGCAGAGGAGGAGGAGTAGGCGAAATGTGAGGAGGCGGTACTGGGCGCAGAGAGGAGGGGAGAACCTATATCGACCCAAGACGCATCAACGATGTTGCAACAAAGCTTCCCTCCAAGGTCCTTGTCGTAGGTCCCCGAGAATGTTTTTCACGGCGGGAAGTGCCACATTGAAAGACAACCGCTTGACAATCCTCAATTGTGCCAGGACAACAGTCCTGGGATTCCAACGTCGCGAAGCAACGTGCAGTTGACATTCTGGCAACCCCAAGCAGCGCCAGGAGACCATTCCTGTGACTTCAGCACAGCGAATCAACGTGACTGTTGACTTCTGACCGTCCTAAATCGTGCCGGAACACCATTCTCGGGATTTTAATCCCATGTTCGCGGCGCTCATGCCATAGCTGCATTTGAAGATGAACCGCGGCGCCCAGGCGAGAGCCATATTTTGGAAACCATTCTCCCTCCATCTTGAAGCTGATACGAACTTCCAAAACGAATGCGCACTGTGTTCAGGCGAGAGCCACATTCTGAAAATGAACCGCTTTCTAATCTTTAATCAGGTACAAGTTTGAAGACGAATGGTCGCGGCGCTAAGGTGATATTTACATTTGGAAGCCATTCGCCCTCCATCCTTGGAACAGTTGCAAATTTCAAGCTTCAGGATTTCAGGATCATGCGTGGTGAGTAAGTCTCAGGCGAAATGCCTTGTCCACCCTATCGACACGTTGGGGGAAGCGATCGGGAAGAGCTGCTCATGAGGAACAGGGGCTTATCATGAGGAGACAGAGGAGGGGGGGTAGAATGTGACTGTAGGCCTAGGTGCCTTTCCCTAGGAACAGTTCCGCACGCAGGACGAGCCGACCTTCTGCGGCCTGGCCACCCTGGCGATGGTTTTGAATTCTCTTCGAATAGATCCGATGCGCACCTGGAAGGGCGCCTGGCGCTGGTTCACGGAGCAGACCTGGGCTCAGATTGTCAACAGCCCCCGCCTCTTCTCCCTCTTCTTCCTCTTCTTCCTCTTTCTCCTCATCCTCATCATCGTGAGCGCCCTTCTCTGTTTTCACCGAGCGTTCGCCGATGATGATCCTCATCCTCCTCCTCCTGCTTCGCCTCCTGTTACCCCTTCTCATCTTCCTTCTGTTGTTGGTGATTCGATGACCGTTGGCAATGAGAAGGTGCTTGTCGAATCGGATCGCCAGCATCCTGGCTTCGATCGGCAGGACCTGCCCTGTCAGTGCCACTCTCCATGGATGATGGCAGCAGCAGGGCCAAAAAACACATCGGGATGTTTTTTTTGCCGTCGGCCGGACTAGAGGAGAGACAGAGAGAGAGCGAGCGAGAGGAAGAGAAATAGACATAGAGAAGGCAAGAGGCAAGGCGTTTGTCTCAGCCCTTGCCCTTGCCGTTCCGCGTGGCGTCCAGCCGGAAGATCGTGGCGGCCACGTCGCGGGTGTCCTGCGCCGTCGGCCTGCCAGCGGGAGGCCCCAGCGCTTCAGGTGGCACGACCATGTCGTCGCCCCTCTTTCCTCGCCGCTCCCAGTCCACGTCCACGAGCATGCAAGTGCCCTTCATCCCGCCGAATTAAAATACGCGAAAGAAACGCTGACTGATGACTTGAGCTCTCACGTAGGTGTCATCCTCTAAACGGAGCACCTTCACACCTGGGAAGAACAGGGAGAGGCGTTGCGTCCGTCAGGACGTGGTCGATGCCTCGCTCGAGTATGCTGGCTGCGACTGCACACGCAGCCGCTGCCGTTCTGGATCTTTCAAGGACAGTGTCCGCCTGAGCGTAGGTCATCCAGCCCGACTTAGATGTCACACGAGAGAGGGAACTTCATAACATCGCGGGCAGGGTGCTACTTATGATAGGAAGCTGCGTCTTGTAGGCCCTGGTGCGCTGGGCATTCGGCGAGGATGTGGGCGAAGCTCGGGAAGGTCTTCCCGCAATGCTTGCAAGGGAGACTGGGCCTTTGCCGCGCTTCCGATGTGACACTGTGACCGTGCCGCTTCGGAAGATAACCAACAGCCCGCGATCTGCTTCTGAAAGGGAATCTGACCACTTTGAGAATGTTTGCTGTGAAATGGCCGTGCGAGTCCCAAAAGGGCTCCAAGACGGCCCAAGGCTCGCCCAAAACGGTCCCAAACGGTCCAAGACCGCCCCAAGAGAGGTCCAAGAAGATCCCCCACGACCTGACATTCAAGCCTCCCGCCCCAAGAGGTCCCCAAGAGGCACCCAAGAAAAAGAAGCTCCAAAGAGGCCCCCAAGAGGCCCCAACGAGACCCCTAACGGGTCCAAAAATGTCCCCAAGAGGCTTCGAGAAGCTTTAAAACTGCCTCCCAATGGCCCCGAGAAAGCCAGCCACGAGATCCCAACCGACCTGCATGAGGCTTCTGACCCACCACCCAGGCACGGTGGCGGGATAGGCCGAAGATTAGTAGATCCGCCGCCCCCTGTCGATTCATCACAGGGGTGCCTGGCGTGCTGGACCTCTCAGTTTTGTTTTTTTACCTAACAGCGAAGACTGATAGGTTTCTAGTGGGGTCAAAAGAGAGCATCATGACTCCTCAGGGGGGTCGGGGCGGGACCCGGGGCGGCTGCCGTCGAAGCCCAAATTGCTTGGGACATCCTCGCAAAATCGCTTTTGGCCCTGCTAGAACTCCATTCCCGGCGTACAGTTTGGATGCCCGGAGCCAACTGTAGGCCACTCCGTGGTCTTCGAGTTCCCAGAACTCCATTCCCGGGCTACATTTTGAATGCCTGGAGCCAACTGTAGGCCACTTCGTGCTCTTCGACTTTCCAGAACACCATTCCCAGGCCACATTTTGAATGCCCGGAGCCAACTGTAGGCCGCTTCGTGCTCTTCGAGTTCCCAGAACACCATTCCTGGGCCACATTTTGAATGCCCGGAGCCAACTGTAGGCCACTTCGTGCTCTTCGAGCTCCCAGAACTCCATTCCCGGGCCACATTTTGAATGCCCGGAGCCAACTGTAGGCCACTTCGTGCTCTTCGAGTTCCCAGAACTCCATTCCCGGGCCACATTTTGAATGCCCGGAGCCAACTGAGGCTGAGGCAGGCTGCTGCTGAGGCAGGCTGAGGCTGAGGCTGAGGCAGGCTGAGGCTGAGGCAGGCTGAGGCTGAGGCTGAGGTGAGGCTGAGGCTGAGGCTGAGGCTGAGGCAGGCTGAGGCAGACGCTGAGGCGCTGAGGCAGGCTGAGGCTGAGGCTGAGGCTGATGCTGAGGCTGAGGCTGAGGCTGAGGCTAAGGTTGAGGCTGAAGGCAGACTGAGGCTGAGGCTGAGCAGGCTGAGGCTGAGGCTGAGGCAGGCTGAGGCTGAGGCTTAGGCAAGCTGATACTGAGGCAGACTGAGGCTGAGGCTGAGGCAGGCTGAGGCTGAGGCAGGCTGAGGCTGAGGCAGGCTGAGGCAGGCTGAGGCAGGCTGAGGAGGCTGACTGAGGCTGAGGCTGAGGCTGAGGCTGAGGCTGAGGCAGGCTGAGGCAGGCTGAGGCAGGCTGAGGCTGAGGCTGAGGCAGGCTGATGCTGAGGCAGGCTGAGGCTGAGGCTGAGGCTGATGCAGGCTGAGGCTGAGGCAGGCTGAGGCTGAGGCCGAGGCTGAAGGCAGACTGAGGCTGAGGCTGCAGGCTGAGGCTGGCTGAGGCAGGCTGAGGCTGAGGCTGAGGCTGAGGCTGCAGGCTGAGGCTGAGGCTGAGGCTGATGCAGGCTGAGGCTGAGGCAGGCTGAGGCTGAGGCCGAGGCTGAGGCTGAGGCTGAGGCTGAGGCTGAGGCTGAGGCTGAGGCTGAGGCTGAGGCTGAGGCTGAGGCTGAGGCTGAGGCTGAGGCTGAGGCTGATGAGGCTGAGGCTGAGGCTGAGGCTGAGGCTGAGGCTGAGGCTGAGGCTGAGGCTGAGGCAGGCTGAGGCTGAGGCCGAGGCTGAAGGCAGACTGAGGCTGAGGCTGAAGCAGGCTGAGGCTGAGGCTGAGGCAGGCTGAGGCTGAGGCTGAGGCAGGCTGATACTGAGGCAGGCTGAGGCTGAGGCTGTGACTGTGACTGCCGTTGCCACTGCGACTGTCATCGCGAATGCGACTGCGACTGCGAGAACAGGAGAATTCTACTAATGGATTCTCATCTGGATCTTAAGGGGAATGTTTCCATATATGCTTTTACACATCGCTGTTAGGTTGCTTTGCCGGGATTTTTTTTTTCTAAAAGAACTCTCCCAGTGGGTTTCGGCCCGTCCCGCCGGGGTACCGGGAGGCCTGCCCAGGAGCACAAACTCCACGACAAATCCTTCCTGAAACGGCCGTTTCGCTCGGGACATCCTCAAACAATCGCGAAGATGGCCCAAGATGGCCTCCAAGTCCGCCCAAGATGGTCCAAGACGGCCTCCAAGACGGCCCAAGAGAGTCCAAGACGGCCCAAGACGGCCCAAGAGGCCCCCCGGCCCGAAGAGGCCCAAATCATTGTTTTTCATTAGGTTTTGAAGGATTTTGGAATTTGCTTCTTCTCGGCATTCCGACGGCTCAAGACGGCCCAAGATGCCCCCAAGATCGCCCAAGAGGCCCCCAAGAGGGCCCCATGACGGCCCAAGTGGCCTCCAAGATGGCCCCAAGAGGGCGCCAAGACGGCCCAAGAGGCCTCCAACACGCCCAAGATGGTCTCCAAGACGCCCAAGATGGCCTCCAAGACGGCACGCCCCAAGAGGGTCCCCCGTTGGCCCCGAAAGGCCCCCGAGACGGCTCCCGACGGCGTCAGACGTGCCAGGAACCCACCAAGATGGCCGAAGTTGGCTCGAAGCTGGCCCAAGACGGCCCAAGAGGCCCCCAAGAGGGCCTCCAGGAAGGCCAGAAGAGGCCAAACACATTGATTTTCCTTAGGTTTTTTGACGGATTTTGACATTTCCTTCTTTTCGGCCTTCCGACGGCCCGAGACGGCCCAAGAGCCCCCAAAGATCGCCGAAAGATCGCCCAAGAGGCCTCCAAGACGGCCAAGATGATCTTCAAGATACCCACGTGTTTCCCGAAGGCTTTCCAAACCGATTCGGGGAACACATGGTCCGATGGCTTGGCAGGTCTGGCCTCAACGTTCGGCCACATAGGCGCTTCCAAAAAAGCAGGGGGTGGCGGTGGTTCGCCGTAGGAGTCTTCGATCCGCCGCCCCCTGTTGATTCATCACAGGGGTGCCTGGCGTGCTGAACTTCTTACGATTTTGGTTTTGGTTCTTTTCCAAAAGAACTCTTACAGTAGGCTCCGGCGCGTCCCGCCGGGGTCCCTGGAGGATACCAAAAGATCTTCCAGAGGTGGTTGCAAAAAGGTTTTTCCGTTCCAGACGGCTCCAAGATGGCCCAAGATGGCCTCCAAGACGGCCACGATGGCCTCTAAGACGGCTAAGATGGCCCCAAGATGCCTCCAAGAGGGCCAAAGATGCACCCAAGACGGCCCAAGATGGCCTCAACATGGCCCAAAACGGCCCCAGAGGCTCCCAAGAGGCCTCCAAGACAGCCCAAGAGGCTTGCAAGAGGTCCTCCAGGAAGGTCCGAAGAGGCCACAATCATTGATTTTCCCTTGGTTTTTGAAGGATTTTGGTATTTGCGCCTTTTCGGCTTTCCGACGGCCCAAGGCGGCCCAAGAGGCCCCCAAGGTCGCCCCAAGATCGCCCACGAGGCCTCCAAGATGGCCCCATGACGGCCCAAGAGGCCCCCAAGACGGCCCCAAGAGGGCGCCAAGACGGCCCAAGAGGCCTCGAAGACGCCCAAGATGGCCTCTAAGACGGCCCTGGAGCACCCCAAGAGGGCCCCAAGTCGGCCCAGAAAGGCCCCCCAAACGGCTTCCGACGGCGTCAGACGGGCCAGGAGCCCACCACGATGGCCCAAGGTGGCTCGCAGCTGGCCCAAGACGGCCCAAGAGGTCTCCAAGAGGGCCTCCAGGAAGGCCAGAAAAGGCCAAAAAGAGATTTTCCATAGG